GGAACACTAAAACCATTCAGTGATTAAAAAAAAGGAGCTGTTGCCCTGTACTGCTTAATCACTGTGTGTGCTGGCATGTTTGGGATGGGTTACTTTTTTTTTTTCTCTTCTCTTTACCTCAGGCATTCAGTTTGAAGGGTGTGTAAGGAAGTGAACTTTCAAAATGATTAGTCACCTTTACAGTTACAGTCTTCTACTTTTAACAGGATTTGAGGCAGTTTTCCAGAATTTGGATTCAACTACACAGGGATCAAAAGGGACTCATCTGCAAAGGAGGATGAGGTGGGCATTCAGGCTAGCCAGAACTCCCATTTAGGGCCCATCATAAAAGACACTAGTTTTGACACACCTAAGGGAATAATAAATGGAAATCCTGTGAACTATACTTAGTGTTTCCTATACAAAGTGGCCTGTTATTCATAGTGTTGCCTTTAAGGTATTCAATACTGCAATCATTGAGGTGAAAATGTAGTCTTCTACATTTGTCCGACAACATTAAGTACTCTTGTCCATGTCATAATTAGAATGCTGTATGTGGAGACCCTTACCATCAAAATAATTTTTGATCTTCCCACTCTTGAAGTTTAAAGTAGAAGCTGCTTAAGTTTAGTTTTCCCATTTAATTCTTGATAAAGATATATTTTTATTTGAAGCATCCTCATTTTCTAGGCTTTATAGATCGATTAATCAATATTTGTGCACTTCAAGCTACTAAGAAAATTACAAAATAATGGGAAGTAGCCAGGAAAGAAGAAGGTAGTGCAGAGGGATAAATGAAGATACGCAGCATCACACTCCTAAGAGCTCTGCACTTTGCCAAGCACAATCAGCGAGATGTTTTTGTCACAGGTCTTTGCTACCCAGTGGAAAACAGGTTGCTTTGTTTTCAGCCAGGCTGTTCCAGTCTAGATGAAGTCCCATTTTAATTTAGAATTCAATAGCTTTCATCTGTTCTAAGAGGTTAAATCTTAAACTTTGCTACAATGTAAAAAATAATGACTGCTATTCCATATATATGGTATAGCAGAGAGAAAAAAGCACAGTCTCTCAGTACATGCAGCAGAAGCCCCCATTTATCTGTGCTTACCTGTTCACGAACACTACTTCAGATGAATTTGCTCCAGATCAGGGTTTGGGTTCTCATCTTGCTTAAGCTCCACAAATGTAAACACTGGGGAAAGGTCACTATCACATTTCTCTTGCATGCTCAACTCTTGCGAGTTTGAGAACTGCCCAGCACTTTACCGATGTGGGCACTGTGGGGTGATGCTGTTACCGAAGGTGCACATCTTCCAGATCAAACACAAGTTACTTGGGTTTTATCTTTTTAATAATGAATTTAAGGAATGATTTTGGTTTAAAATATGGAGGACTCTGGACCTTTGTGGCCAAGAGCATCTGTGGCTTAGCTGGACTCTTTTTTTTTTTTTTTTTTCTCCAATGTTCTCTTCTCAGAATGGGCTAGTTATCCCAGAAACAAAAAATTTGCAGGAATCCGAAGCAAACCTTAGAAAGTGAGAAAATTTCAGGTTAAAAACTAAAAGCCCAATACTTCCTATCACCCTGACAGCTATTAGTGACCTTACCCAGCCCTTAAAAGATATACTTCTTGGGATATGGTACTGCAAGCTGTTGTCCACCATGCAACTAATTAATTTTGCAAAATGAAAAAATACCCTTAATAAATGATGTATCTTAACAGATATGATAATTTTACAGCAACCCCTCTGCAGCAGTTTCCTGTATCAGCTGTTCAGTGTTGAGCCAACTGATTTCTATCAGTAGCTAAAGATTAGTAACATATTCTAATTAGGCATATCTGCTGTACAAGGTACTTGGCACCACTTAAATATAAAAGTGTCCTAAGCACCCCAGTTTCATCCACAGTTCAGTTCATGCCATTTATTCACATGCGAAAGCATAATACGTGTGTAAATGTCACAGGCAGATGAAATGATGTAGCATCCCTGCTTCCATCCCCATCAAGGGAAGTGCTGCCAGTACTTTCAAAAGGCTTCAGATTTACCAGTGCTGCAGCCCACACTGTGCAGCTGCAAACTGCACAGGGTGGCAGCTATGACGCCTGCAGTCTATTCACCCAGCCCATCTGTGACAGAAAGGGAAGTTTCAACAGGCAGAAGACAGCATGATGTTGGTAGCTAACGGTCCTGCTGTAGGAAGCAGTTGACCCCACAGAACCTAGCTGCATTCTTTTAATTAAAACTCTCCCCAATTGCCACGGAGTTACTTCCTTAGGATATACCTATAGTAAGATACATGTGATAGGTAGCAAGTAAAAGAAATAGCAAAATGTCCTTATATATTCAAGTGCTACAAATATGTTTTCTGGTACTCTGAGGCTTTATGTCATGCAACTTTATATCCAATGAACAGAGGACATCTTTATAGCCTGCACAGTTAATTTTTTTGTCTTTCTGTATTTATAGTAACAGGGACTGCACCTCCTTATTGTGAACTGTCCAAAGGGATTTCTGTGCCCCCAAAAATACTGCAGACATCCTTTTTAAAAGCAAAAATCCCACCCGATCACAAAAACCAACCACCCCACCCAAACAACCATCATCCCACCCAGCTTCAGAAAGACATAGCCATTATTTATGTCCATTCTACTACCAGTTTCTCAGGCACTCTGAGGAACTGCAAAGTGAAATAACTGTTAGAGCTCAATAGCCAGCTAGCAAAAGTGAAGGGCCTCTAGCTTCAAGGGAAAAATACTGAGGAAAAGCCCAGTGCTTCAACTAAAGTTAGGGCTAGTTTTACATATAGCCCAAGCAACTGAACTATTCTGGTGGTTAGAAACATTAAATATTAAATCTCCAGGCTCTCTTCATGGACGAGGATTGATGCAAGGACGCATTCTATAAGCTGTCTGCTTTAGACTGACAGCAGTAAGCTTCAGTGATTTACCTGCACCAGTGCAGAGACATGCATGGATACCGATCTGTTGACTTCCACCATCACCTCCTGACAGTCCTACCACAGGTTTGCAAAATGCCTTTTAATAAAATGAGGGCATGTAAAAATAGATTAATATGGTTTGCTAGCTTCTTCTCATGCTTCCCAGTAACCTAGGTGAGGAGACAGTTTATGGTTGTCTATAGCTGCACCTAAACTACAATGGTTCATTTGGCATGACTAATCTAGCTGATTGAACAGAATCCTTCTGCACCTTGACCCAAGTTTTAAGGTAACTCTTCTACATGCCACTAGCAGCTTAACTCCTTGTAAAAATCTTAGAATAGGGCTTCTTCAGGTTTTACCAGAGAACATGAAATACCTCACCTGTAACACGGTTTTATTGAAAACAAACAAACAAAATCTGGTAGCTTGGCTCAGTTTTTCAAATAACGTGTGCGTATCAGGACACATCAGTACTAATTTTGGCTAAACTGAAAAATGATACAAGATAAAAATCTGGAACAGCTGCAAAATGGTAAGACAAAATGTTTTGTTATAACAAAATTATAAATTCAAAATCACATGTTCCATTTTTTTCCGTCAAACTGTTCACAATTTAACACAAACTGAAAAGCCAGTCCCTCTCCCAAACCCTGATATTAATCTCAGCCTTCTTCCTTCTCCCCACACTCAGCTGAGGACATGAAAAAATATCAGCATGTACTTTTTTTTTTTCTTCAGTGACAACAAGGAAACAAAATACATGACTAAACTGCCTTTTTTTTTTTTCCTTCTGGAGGAAGTCTCCAAAGTTTAATCTATTGCCTTCAGGTTCAGATGCATTCCATATAACTAAAAGCATATTAAGTCAGGACTGTAATGCCCTTACCCCTCCTTTCTATAGCCAACGGAAAAATAAGTTAGCAATGCAATGCTGAAGGGTTTCTCTCCCAGTGAGATGCCTGAAGATAAGTGCAGTCATTCTGATGTACCAGGACTCTCCTGCAACAGCTGTAGCTACATTCAACACAAGAGTTGTTTGTGCTTTTGCTTAGCTACACTAAGAAATGTTGCTAAGAGGAGGAACTAAAATACTCAGCATCAGACATTAATTTACATTAGAGGTCTCAGCAAGTCATCTTTCTCAACTGTTATTCTGTAGAAGGGATATATGTTTAGATACAATTTTCTAAACAACTAATCAAGCCATTGCATGATCAGCAAGGCTCATGTAGACTGCTCTCCTACAGTCCTCCACCTCCCCCACAACCTCGGCTGCTTCCTGCATGCCCCCACTCTTTCCCCTAAGCATCCCAGAACACTTCCCCTCCCTTCTCACTCGTGTCCCCACACTACTAATATGGGGTTGCTCGGTTTGGAGCTGCACACATCCTGATCCACCACCATGGTAACAGCCAAGCCTTTCTTCAGTCTAAGCACAAATCCGGACGTTTCCCAGAGGAGTTACTGAAGGCATGAGGTTTACTAGTTTTAACATATATTTTTGTAAGGCAACAGCTTCAAAGAATTTTTAGATATATTTCAAAGTCCCACAGTCTAGCCTGGTAATGAAATGGAACTTCCCTGTAGAGAAGCTGCCAGCTGTAGTTAAGACATATTACAAAAAGCCTTAATCCTAAACCTTTTTTAATTAGGTATTGACCTTTACATAGTAACCAAAACTAGTATTAGTCTTCCCAGAGTCAGAGATATTTAGCTGCACAGAAATAAGGCCAAGACACTATTTTAAGTTAAGCAATGCCACTCTCCCAGGCCCTTATTTAGACATACTTCTCTGGAGAAAAAAAAAAAAAAAAAAAAAAAAAAAAAAAAAAAAAGTTGCATCTTCATTTACTTTGACATGAGCTATTAGAGAGTAACTGCCGAAGAAAAATGTTACTGTCTTGCAAACAACTCAACTGTATTTTTTCCATGTCTTACTCTTCCAGTGTTACATGAGATGACTTCATGATACAAAAAAACCCCAACTCCCACCCCCCACCCCAACAGTACATAGTTTTAACAGCCAATATAGCAAGTAGCACCTAAGTATGTAGTATACATAAATTGATTCAAGCATAAACAATTAATGGGCTCTTTTTAATTCAATAAAACTAAAGCTTACAGATTCTTAACTCAACCATTCAAAAAGATACCCATAACAAGTTGTATTAATAAAAACTGACAGGCTTCCAGGCCTCTAAAACATTTCAAACACAGGATGAAATAAAAGATATCAAATGTTTACATTAGTCTTGCTGCCTTACACACCCTCATAAAAAGTGAACACATTCAGTAACTTCAAGTATACCATTAAAAAGACACCAGTAAGTGCTCCAGTTTTCTGTACCATACAACTTTATTTCAAATTCACATCTTTCTAGGCAATATATCCAAAATATTTGACTCAAGAGTACCTTTAAACTGTAAATATTCTGAAACAGGGCATCAAGCCTTTCCCATCTCCAAAAACCCCTTAAGTTTTAGCTCATGTTATAAAAAGTAACCATGTGGAATGTGACAAGTCATAACGTGAAATCAAAGTGCTTTAGTCCCATAGCGCAGACAGACACTAGTGGTTATCTAGCCATTCATCAGTACATGTTCAACACCAACAGAGAAGTTTCCTCTGTTGCACCCCAACTTGCAAAGACCTTTGGATCATTACGGTGAAATTTCATTAACTGACAGCTAAACAGTAGGAGTGGACCAACAGTTTCACTTTGATACTTCAAATAATGAATTATAAATGAGGCATCTTTTTACCATTTTTCAAGTTCCCTTAATAATTGCCAAAGTTCTACTGTATTATGCAAGATAAAATTATGTTCCACTTAGTCTTTTAAAATCCCAAGTGTGCTGTATTTCAAATCCCAAAGCACTGAAACCCCAAAATTATTTCCCTAAACCCCAACAGCTATCCAAGAGTCAGTATTTTTGTGCAATTCTTTGCTAGTTGCCTGTGAAGAGATAAACACTTCACCCAATGGTTCATATGAAAGAACTATAAATTCTCAAATCAGAAAGTTACTTTAATAAGATTGGGACACAGGCAGTTGAATGGAATATGTGCTCAATTCAGAAGTGGCCATGGTGAAGAGGGCTCATGTTGCAAGTGTTCAGTCAGAAAACTTCCTTTCTACAGAAGTCTAAAAAGCTATTTATCTTCCAGAGTGAAGGAAGTTTAGGACTCAGGCATTTCTCTGTTACAAAAGAATTAGCTCTACAGTATAATTCCTATGATTATTCCCCCCTCCCTTTCAGAAGACATCACATTTTTGTACACAAGTTTACAGCTTAAATGGGAAGGGCTGAGGGGAAATTTCTGGTCCTGTCCCACAGACGTAAAGACAAAGTGCTTTGGAAGACCGATTTTATCCATCACATTTGTGGCAACCAACCCAAAATGAAGGCACATGAAGTCTATAATAATATATCTTATAAATTATAAACTAAAGCTGAACCTCTGTATAATTTCTAGTCTTTTTGCACAAAAGTAATGACCAGCACCTCTGCAGAGACTACTTCTTTTTTTTTTTTTCCGTGTAACTACTCCCAGAAATAGATCAGTGTTGCTTGCACACCTTTGTAAATACTGTCATGTATTAGGTTTTGACACAAAGTGCAGAAATTGGTAATTTATCCACAAAGGAACTCTGAAACCTGCGAATCACCAGCACTCCCTTCCTCTGTTGCTACAAGAAATGTAAGCCACCACCAACAGCTACAGAGAGCTGTCACCTTGAAAGTGCACAACTCCCAGCAGCAGTTCCCCTGTGAGGTGTTCTAGAGCTTGTGGCAGGCATTTAATCAGTGTCTCAGATTTGGATTTTAGCATGTCAAAGCCTATCTACTTTTGGTTAGTTACCGGCCAGACATGCACACACATTCTGAGGAAGCCAACTTGAAACATGCTTTGACAAATGTTGCACTGAAATTGTACTTTAACTTCCAAGAACAGATGAGCTGCTACCTTGAGCAGCATTCAGGATCCAGGGTCAGCTCAAGACCTCATTCTTAAGGAAAGCTGAGTCTGGATACAAATCTGCCTCCTAGATTTCACTGGAATTGCTACCTTTAAAGCAGAGAAACAAGATTCAAGGTTTTTGAAAGCTTTAGCAGACGGATAGGCTCGTCAATCAGATTAAGACTTAGCAGGCTGTTAAACAACAGTTCAAAGCCTTAGTTATCACTTCTCTAGAAATATAGTTTAAAAGAACTCAAACACCACTGCCATCACTTAACTAGAATATGTCACTATACTGCTCTCACTCAGATGACAATCGGGGATAGTTACATAGTTCTGGTTATCTACCCTGTGTGTGAATTCACACACACCCCTTTTTTCCCCCCTCCCCTATATCTGCACAAAGCCAGCTGAAGGGATTGGCACACAAGTTACTAGCAAACACAGACCTGTAGCTATTACAATTACAGGACCATATTAGAGTCTCATGAAGATTTCATGCAATGGTGCCTGTGCTGTTTTCTAAAAGAGAACGACTTTCACAGGTAACACATACAACAAAATTTTCTGATTTTAAACAGAGCGAGTTACACAAACAACATTGACAAGAACTGACCAGACTTAACAACTGGAACTGCGCCTAGGTCTGGCACTTGAGAATTCACAGTGATTAAAATAAAATTGCTTTGCCTAAGACAAAACATAAGATACCAAATATATAAAAAGACTCTTTGCTTCCATTACCTTGTATCAGTATTCCAACAGCAATAAGCAAGCTCAGTAGTACATCAGACAGCAGAGACTTCTGCATGTTGTTAACTTTATTCGCTGTTTGCAGTGCAATGGAGTGGGGTTTTTTTTGTATATATATTCACGATGTCACATCAGGCAATTTTCAGTGAATAAAGTCAACACAGGCTCGAGTCTTTGCTGGATTGAAGCTTGGATTCTCACAGGAAAACGTTATCTACTGTCTCATTTTGGGTACCCAACTCCACACTGTGCAGGTGGTATTGCTGTTAAAGAGAAACCTAAAGTATATTTGCATATTACTGAGGTGTTCTTCTTACATAGCAAGTTGTTTGTAAGCAGTTTATAGTACCAGTTGATAACGTAAGAGCAGAGCATTTTGCACTCTTCCTTTCCCCACCCAACTAGCGAAACCTAGTAGATTCACTAACAAGGGATTCTGATCCCAAAGCCTGCTTTTTAAGAGAAAGAGTGCAGCTTTTAGACACCCCAGCGTTTCTCAGGGTACCCGCTGCCTCTCACTTCAGCACTGAGGGCCCAGCCGAAGCAGTCGCTCTTGGGAGCTGTAAGCCACCAGAGCCCTGCTGACCTGACCAAACTGAGAGTTAAAGCAAGATACTCAGGACTCATCTGCCCAGAGTCCACAAGTGTAAATGAGCACCCACTCGTACCTGCCTCACCTTCTGCGCTACACCCTTGGGCACTCTGGTCCATGTGCCCACCTCCCAGACCTCCTTGCTCTCCAGCCTTATCCAAAGACATTGGACTTTGGCCTGAGCTTGAACGATGCTTTCAGGGATTTCTCCTCGTGCTCTTCCTCCTCAGTGTCACCACGAAAGGAGGGCGTGTTGTGGATGATCTGAGTCCTGAAGCGGATCTTATTAAGCCGAGGCTTCATCCGCCCGCTGCCCGAGGCTTTCCTGGTCATCTCCTTGCCCTTGCCTGGCACCGCCGCCCCGTCGGTGCCCTCTGCTTCCTCCCCGGTGCTGTGATGGTGATGGTGGTGGTGGGAGAGCCGGTAGCTCATGAGATTGGAGGGCAACACCTTGGAGAGCCTCCAGCGCCCGCTCCCGTTACCGGCAGCCCCTTCCTCCTCTTCCTCCTCCTCCAGGGCCCCCACCAGGTTCCGCATGTCCCCCGAGGTGCCCTGGTGCAGGTACTGCGCGGCCTTGCGCCCGCTGTAGTCGCGGATGTCCACGTCGGCGTCGTAGGCTCCCACCAGCAGCTTCACCACCTCGGCGTGGCCGTGCATGGCGGCGATGTGCAGCGCCGTGTGCCCGCCGCTGGTGCGGGCGTTGATGTCCACGGGCAGCTGGTGCTGCTGGGCGAAGTTGACCAGCGTGGCCAGCAGCTCCTGCCGCCCGTGCTTGGCGGCCCAGTGCAGCACCGTGAAGCCGGTGATGAAGTCCCGCTTGCAGAGCAGCGCCGGCTCGCAGCTCAGCAGCCCCTCCAGACTCTCCCACCGCCCGTCCGAGGCCGACAGCATCCAGGCGTGCTCCAGGGGGTCCAGGGCTACGGCGCCAGTCGTGCTCCCCTCCTCCTCGGCAGACGACGAGGCCACCGAGGCGCTGTCCGAGTCGCCGCCGCCTCGGCT